ATGTGAGACTCATCTAAATTCCTCACGTGTCACAAAAGAGCTAACCTGGACAATATAGCAGAAGTATCGACACTACAGTATTGGTGTTGACACTTTTATAGTCAATTTCAAGAGTACCCTAATTACTAAAGAATAGTGTTGACACGACAAAGGTGATATCGGCACCCGACCCGTGTCGTTGTTTGTGGATCTTTTTGTAGTTTTTTCAAAGGTAAAATGTCACATCTGTGTTCTTCTTTTTTTTGTCTTACTTTAAGTTAAAATCCTCAATTTAGTTGTTTAATTATTATATAAACTTTAGATTTGATCTTTAAATTCAAAAGTTTTTTTATTTGATTCTTATTGTTTATTAATTTAACTTTAAATTAACTTTTTTTTATTAAAAATTAGTTAACATATCTATTATTTAAGGTTAAAAAGATGATTTAATTACCACATATTATATTAATAATGAAATACATTATCTATTTTTATATAAAATGATCAATTTGGAGCCAAATTAACAACAATAGGGATCAAATTAATTTTTTTTAGTTTAGGGATCAAATTAAAGGTTTATACAATAGTTGAAGGATTAAATTGTGGGTTTAACCTTTACTTTATGAACGCTTTGGTGCTTAAACTTCAAATTCATTCAGTTAGGTCTATGCTTGCAACTTTCTTCTTGCCATATAGTCCCTCAATTTAAAAAAAATTTCCATTTAATTTCAAAACTTTTTTTAATTCAAGTTCTCTTTAACAAGTAATGTAAATTATATAAAACTTATGAAATATGGTAAACAAAATACTAAACTTATAAACTAGCTAAACTTAGTAGGAAATATCATATAAATTTATTAAAATTAATTTATCATTTAAATATATTATATAAATTATTTTATACAAAAATATATAACCTAAAATAAAAATTTTGAGTCTTAAAATATATAGTCTAAAATCATATAAATTAAATTTTCTTTAATAATAATAATATATATAACCACAAACCCTGCAAAGCGGAGTGAGTCAAGCCAGTGTAGGGTAAATAGTTCAGGCCTTCATTACCTTAAGTAGTGTAAGAGAGTAGACCCTCTTCCTTTCTCTCTTTTCTTATTTTATCTTTTTAAAAATAAATTTAATTTTATGATAATTTTATAAATATTTTGATTTTTAAAGATATTTGATAAATAAAAG